TAATATAATTATTTGAATATTCTTTTTTAATGTGAACTTTTGATAGAACTACTGATTATTTATGTTATTATTTATTTATGTTTCAAAATCACAAAATAAATAGTTACGTATTTTATTTCTTTAATAATTAAATAAAATATTTTTATTTTTTTACTGTTATCTCCAATTACATAGTTATTAGTAAAGTTATTAACATTTTCATAAAGTGATCATTCAGTTTCAAATGTATTATTAATATTCTATAGTCTATACATTTTATAAAATAAAATAACTACAAATCTGCATACATCTTATTTTTGAGTGTCCACCATTATACAATATAGCGCAAAAATTACCACTTGAAATTCATATAGGTACAAACTTGTAAAAATGCAATACTGTAGGCCTAAATAAACAATAAACATTTTCTGCATTCGGAATTTATGTATATTGTATACCTACCAAAAATAAAATGTGAATTTTACGTATTTATCATCTCTCAAAACATTCAAGTAATGATTATAATATATTTAATAAAGGATAATGGTTTATTATTATGTGCATTTTAAATTTTAATTAGATATGTAAATCCTAAACGTTGTCTTGTCCGTTTTTGATCTTGAAAATTGCTAAATATCCCATATACAATTGATTTGACTTTGTATTTACGATACCTAGTTTATATCTGAATAATTTATTTTAATTTAAAACCTTTTAGTTCAAACATTTAATCAAAATAAGATAAAGACATTAATTTACCACGAACACTCGAATACTTCAAAGAAACCTATTTAGAATCTAAATTCGTTTCAATCAAAAACCAAAAACCGTTGTATAATCAAGGGACACACTATAATTTGATATGTATAGATTATGGATATACCAAGTATACACTAAGTAGTACCTAACCTGTCTGTCTTGTATAAATATCAAACATATTTTATTAGAATAAGGGTTAAGTAGGGTTCAATATTTAATAAAATAGAAATATGGCGATATATTATTTTATAATAGAAGGAAATATTGTAATCAAGTTGTTTAGTGTAGGTACTAAAACAAAAATGCTCTCTAATATCATAGAAAACTCCCTCCCCTGCAAATCGTCCAAATTCCAATTGTATTTTACTATCAATTAACACGAAGTTGGATATTTCAAGTACGTCATAATCGATGGATAAAATATAAATTAAAATAAAATTATTACAAAGTTCCACATGCTTGAGTCACACGCTTCCCAAGTGCTCATATACGAAGTGTGACTTTTGCGGTCAAGTACAGCATTTTATAATAAGCTTAATATACTGGATGTTTAAATGTTGATGAGTCTACCGTTTCGGGTGCTGGGTTTATACGTTTCCTCGATTCCGGTTCTAGCCAAAGGGACATATAAAAGATTCTTTTTTATGTCTTTTGTTCCAGTGTGGGAAAAATTACATTCGAGGGCTTTAGGGTACATTATATTGTACACGAAAAAAATTATAAAATTAAATAAAATAAAATTCCCACGTAATACTGCTGCAGTATAGCAGATTTAGTAATAAAATCTGTACTAGGGTCGACCTATCCGTATCTTACTATATCATACCACAGTGTTATCATATTAATATTTATATGTACCTACCTACATAAAACATACACGCAAATTACGAAAAAATATATAAACGCGAATTCGTATAAAGAAAATATAAAAACACTAATTATACACGTATAACACGATAAAATATACAGGGTGATTCGCTAAGCATGTTCAGTGCTCACCCCCTTTTCCTCTTCCATTGTGCAGTTATTAAAAATATGATTTTTGGAATTTGACCATAATTTTTTCAAATGTTTGGTATTTTTTCTACTTTTTAAGGAGTGTCTTGTGGTGATAGAAACTTTTGTTTTTCAAACGAGAACCCGTCTTTTCAACTGTAAATTATTAAGAGGACGCTACACAGACATTTGTTGTCTCCGTCTTACAAGTGCCTAACATACCAAATGTACACTCAGTAGATCACGTTCAGTTTTGTTAGTTTAAAACTTAGAGTGATCAACCCAACCTATTATGAACCATTGATGGTAAGAAATTCTCTGTATTTGTCCAAAAAAATCTTTCGGTCAATCATTTGTGGACTACGTATTTCAACTTAATGCCATATGAGTATAAAAAAAACATCCATCAGCATCAAAGTAGTGTTAAACAATGTGTTTATAAGTATTTATTCTTAGAGTTAGTTTAATTATTATTGTATTTTGAATTTATTAATAGATAGTTACTTTCAAGTAATAAACTTGAAAATGTATAATTTTATTTTAAAATTATTTTATTTAAATAACTAACTAAACTGTACACATTTTATTTATTTATATAATTGTATATTATTATTATTTTTGATCCTTTTTTAGAATAGCATTGTTACACTCTCTATCTCTAACTCAAGCTATGCTTAAAAGAGATAGATAATCAATTATTGTAAATTTCAAATTTTGTATTGTAAATTGTAAATTTTTATTGATAAATAAAAAAAAAAAAAAAATTTGTAAGTGGGCTTTTTTGATAATTCAGATTTTAAGTGAGTTGTGAGCATTTTCAATTTAAGCTATATTAAATACGCAAAAATTGCTTATAAATTGAACCATCGTAAAAAACCTATATGCAAATATAGATAATTTTCTTACCATCAAGTTTCATGATATGTTGATTCACTCTAATTTTTAAACTAACGAAGCTAAACGTGATCTGCTGAGCATACATTTGCTATGATAAGCACTGTCTGTAAGACGGAGACTACAAATGCCCGTGTAGCGTCCTCTTGAAGGGAAAAATGGAGGTGTGATCGTGCTTGGTGAATCACCCTGTATTAATATATAAACAGTATAGCATATTATATCATATTATATAATACGGTGCAGTGCGCGAGGCTGCGCAGAGGAGTTATTTTTATATTCCCGCGGTTATTATACATAGCAGTAAAGCGTGTCGGCGGACGCGAATTACGCATTATTCTCGGCGGACAGTATAATAGTATAACGAAACGGGTGAAAACAATAAAAAAAAAAATAATAATAAAAAAAGGCGTTTTCAGTGTTTTAAAAATGAAGGGAAAAAAATCGTATACATTACAGTCGTTAGATAATATTTGACGATATTAAATTATAATTGTCATGTACAATAATACATTGTGTGTAGTACGCGATAGCGGCGGTGGCAGATATTCGCACGTGACCGTACATCAAAGTCGCCGCTCTCTCTCGGGCGCCGCCGCCGCCGCCGGTTACACACGCGACGCGCACTTTTCGCCCGTACGCCGTCTCCTCTTCCCGCCGCGGGCTTTGTGCCGTCTCCGCCGGAGGGACTTTGACATTATCGTTGCGACGGACACACACTCACGCACACAGGCACACACGCATGTGTAAAAATCACTCACAAACACACACATTCACGTGTATTATATATTATTATAATGATACATTATGTTATAATATATTATGACGTATACTGTTGTGTGGGATAGACTGCAGCAGGGTTCCGGTGCTGGACTTTGATAACAAAATATAATAAAAGTACCTATCTCGAGTGTTTGCATACTATGTAGGTAGGTACAGCGTCTATACCGTATAATACAGGGCGATTTTTTTAAAAGCAATACTCAATCTATCTAAAATTCTTAACGTGTTGAGTATATATGAGTATTTTTCATTTTAAATAATAATTTAAGCAATTATTTCTAAACCAATTTTTGAAAAATAAATGTCTTTTTTAATATTTTAACTATTTTGATCGAAAACATTGTGGGTCTTTTTAATTTCTTATTCCGAACCAGAATGTTGTTTTTATGAGAATTTCAATTTATAATAAATCGAGTTTTGAGAAGTCGCGATTAGTAGTTACAAGTCATAACTTAAATAGGAGTATATCTTAAGTACATATATACGATAAAGTAGTGAGCCAACATTTTGTCAGGGGTAACCCAGTGCCACTCCACTCAACTTATCTTAACTTAAAATGCTTATAATTAGAAATAGGATTGATGACTTTTGCATTTTTTTCACTTTAATCCTATATACAATGTGCTATCTTGGCTAAAAAACTCGTTTCATGCTTCATAGATTCTGAGTATGATAATATTATATATTTGAATTTGCATTTTTAGCTAAACATAAATTTATTGTTTTTTGTATTTCTATATAAATGATACCTAGTTTTTTGTAATTTTTTTTAAATCTTAAATTTCAATCAAAATATTTAAATTTGATGGCTTATTTGTTTTGGTTAAAATTACTACGTCGGAATACGCAAATGTTCGCATGTATATCTACACGCTTATTGAGTATTATATTTGAAGCATAGGCGCACTTTCAGTTTTTAACATGGAGGGGCTTAACATATTTAAATAAAACAGACCCGTGGGGGGCTCTGCCCCTCACACCCCCCTCCCCAATTCAAGTACTGATATGCCGATATCATTTATTTCTCATCCACTTTCCTACATTTAATATACTATGATGCATTTATTAATAAAACAAAAAATATTTGTATGAAAATAATAACAACATTTAGGTAAATAAATGTAATATATATTTATTTATTAAGTATATTATTATGATTTGAACCTTCGGTTAGAAATTGCAAATTTATCTAATATTTTTTCGTTGGACAATTCATTTGATAAATCTCGTTCTATATAAATTAATGACAAATTTGTAAATCTATCGTGATTCATAGATGTTCGAAGCCAATTTTTAATCTTTCTCCTTGCTGGGAATGATCTTTCACATGTTGTAGAGCTAATTGGAATTGTTAAAGATAATGATAACAGTTTATATAAATTAGAAATGGATCCACTTATCTAATTAAAAATATTAATACATAATTTAACATTTTATGTAAATAAAAGAAAAAAATCAACAAGCTTAAGTCTATTAAAAATAGTAATATAACTAAAATATTATATTTATATAATTAAAAAAAAAATAAAACTTACCTTTTTCCAATTTCTAAACCCTTTGGTAACAAAAGTATCTTTTGACTTCTCAGTTCAAAAAACTCTACATGGATAGAAAAATACAGCATCCCTTTGAATACTGTATTCAAGCCAAGGAAAACCATCAAACAATGTAGATGAAAATGCTCTGTTTTGTTTGCCAAAAACATTTTTTGGATATGTCTAAAATTAATAATCAAGCAATGAATTATAACTAGGTTATTACTGAATATTATGTTAATCATGAGTTATAACTCATAACATTAATAATTACTTATAAGTTATAACTTATAACATTAAAACTAGTGACTAGTAACTACCTTTATTTTTCTTAAAAATAAAACATAACTTTCTGTATAATGAGTATAATGACAACGTAATGTTTATACATTAATTTATAAAGCATACCTGTAAGTTTGGGCGAATCGGGCCTGTATTTATATCCCCAATATCAATACTCTCAGAAGGCAACTTTTGTACATCCGGTAAAACAGGTGGATCACCAGGGTCAACTTCAGCAACAGAATTATTTTCAAGTCCTTCCTGAGGTTTAATTCTCACACAAGGGTTCATTTTTATCACTTTTAAAATTGAAAATATCATACACTTTATTTTTATCCATTTTAATTTTTAGCTAGTTTTTAGTAGTAAAAGCAGTACACAACGTATATTATAAAAATTAAATAAAATTATTGTGAATGATAATTTTTGTTGACTATTGAACGTTTTAACTAATAAACCGACGAGCAATAACGTTATGGTACTTATCGTCTTATCATTTAATCTTAGAAATTAGGATTTAATGACTGGAGTTATTGGAAAACCAAAACATATTCTAAAAAAAGACTAGGTACTATCAGTTTATTGACTCTTGAATACGGGTCTCCAGAAGGGCGGGACATACGGTATGTATACACCATAGTACGTGAAATAGGAAAGATAAACAAGCCGATGCCGCGCAGTGTACAACGCCAAATAAGACAGTCATTTTATTGTTTTCGTAATACGGCGGGTAAATAAAGTCTAACATCATGTTGTTGCACGGGCTTGTTTCATGTTTCCAGATTTAAACTTTAGAAACAATTTTTTTTCAAACGACGTTTACTGTATTATGTAGATTAGATAATTAATGAAGGATTTAATAATACATCAATTTAAATATAAATTTTTGGAGGGGCTAATTTTAATATTGGAGGGGCAAATGGAGGGCCCCCCCAAATTGCGCCTATGAATTTTGAAGGGTTACGGGGAAAAACTATAATAGTAATATTCCTAAAATGTTCAGTATTTCAGTTTTAAAGTGGGACTCTGGCCTTTTTTTCCGTTATGGCAATATTTAAACCTGTATTATATCATTGACCGTGATCTTTTTTCCATAACTCGATTCACGTGTCGATTCGTTATGAAACTAACCAAAAGGTACTATAATATTTGGTTTTTACTTTTTTCCTTTTTTTTACTATGATCGTTTTTCCCCTTAAGGCCTTAACCCTTCATTTATAAACTGTATTGTATTAAATTGATAAAACGTATTAATTATTTTTAATAGTTTAAATACAATTTGGAAGATTTCTCATCACACATTTTTCAAAGGATTTAAGTTCATTAAATCATTAATATGATCGTTCATTTTTAGTACTTGAAATCATATCAATACGTCGTATAACTAATTAATTATTCTTTTGAAAATCCAATTTTTAAAATCAAAATTAGAGAAAAATATTTGGATTAGGAATAAGGGTAAGAAATGTATGTTGTCATTTAAAAAAAAATAAAAATTTAAAAATTGTGTAAATAGTATGAGAAATTGTTTTCGAATATTTTGTTTTTTTATAATTTTAAATTAGGCGAAAAAATTATTTCTAAAAACATTAAAACTATTGGATAAATTATCGATTCCCTTTAAAATAATCATCGTGTATTGAACTATACCTAATCCAAAAACATGTCCATGGAATCAATATGAAATATATTAAGAATAATATCAGGAAACTTGTTACAATAATGCTTGTATAGAATATGGATATGAGAGGTGAATTTATCGAATTGGTGTTTGTCAAAGGAGGGACGTCAAGCTAGAGGACGAAGACAACCAACTCCTCATTATCCACCAAAAGCATGGAATAATATGTACCTACCAAAGTATTGTTGACGAATTTGATACAAAAGCAAATAAGATTGAAGGACAGCACTCTAAATTTCAAAGGATGGCGAAAACTCATCATACTAACATTTGGCAGTTTCTCAAAATATTCAACGTGATGAAAGAGACCACAACATTCTTATAATACAATATAGCTGGCCATACCAAAATTCAATATTGTATAAATAAATCATATAATGTAATTAATCATGTTCGAGTCCAAAACATAATACCAAAATTCAAAATTACCAGGAATACATATGACCAATAACGAAATAATTACACATTCGAGAGGAAAAGTTATCGCCTCAAAATTAATCACCTTGATATTGTTAAAGAGAAGGAACACTAATATATCACTTGAACTAATTACGAGTGGGTATTATTAATAATAATAACAATAATGATAATATTTATTGCCAAAACTAAATGTTTGAATTAAAATTGGATTTACTTTTTTGAATAAATTATTATTTTTTTTACTATAGTAACTTTTTCCAAAAGTTTACGTTATCGCTATTAATTGTAGTAAACGTACCAATAAACAAAAAAATCGAAAATTTACTGGACAGGTTTATAACGTGTAGACAATAGACATATTTTAATAGTGGAGCACCTATATACAGAAACGTAGCCAGGGGGTAGGGTGGCTAAGGGGGTTACAGCCCCCCCACCATTGACCGTGTTTATTTTAGAATTATTATAATATAATATTATATTAAAACGTTACATTATTAGAAATGGTAGTTCCGTGATTATTAGTAATAATAATAATTGCTTTTGAGTTTTGGATAGCATCGTATTTATTCGTACGGAAATAAAGTTCCTATCCTTTGAATTATGTCTTAAATAATAATATACAAAATCGATTGGTGGAACAATAAACTAAACATAATTAAACTTCTGCTTTGGTGTTTCAAAATTTCGATCTCAAAACATACGATAATCGGTTTTGAAAATATGTCGATATTAAATGAAAAAAAACGTTGATTTCAACGGTTTTAAAACGCACACGAATAATTTTAAGTATGAATTTCATTAAAAACGTGAACAAATATGTTTCTTATTCAAAACAGTATGGACCAACTATATTACAGTCATCACGCTCGCCGTCGTCTTGGTGGTCCAATTTTTTTTTTTTGAAGAGTCGGGGGGGCTGACCGATACGGCTTGACCGTGTTAATTGCGCGAGCTGCTTGCGGACACCGTTAGTCGTTGTGACGCTTATTGAGGGGGATGGGGATGATAGGATGGTAGGACGGAGTGAGTTATGGAGTGAGTGAGAGGGGGTGGAGACGGGATCGATAGTCATCAGAAATGAGCTTTCCCCCTTCCGCACTCACCCGCAGTCGAAAGGCCGCGAGTATATAGTCGTTGGCGTGCGGACCCCCTCGACCAACCCCAACGGTAAGCTCGACAGACCACCCCTACACTTCGACTCGACCCTCCCCTCATTGCACACACACACTCGTAGGACGAGTTAACCCGACCGTATTAATTAATCGCACACACCTATCTCGGACCCGACCGGAACGACGAGGCGGCGGTCGGATACGGTCGCGCCGGGGGACATCACGCGGGACGGTCGCCGCGCACCGATGTTGTACAACTACATTATTATTATTATTATTGTTGTTGTTATGCGTCGTCCGGCAACTCGTGTCCATACATCTCTATACGTCCACCACACTCCTATATAATATAGTACCTATAATATTGTGTAGGCCATCGCCGCTGTCGTTTAAATTTAGAATTTTGTTTTAATAATAAGTATAATAATAGTACTATGCCAGTACGTCACTGAAGATCTATCTCTACAAAATATATTTTATTGGTATGTTAAAAATATGTATCTTGTCATTTGAAACGGTGAAAACTTGACAAATAATTATAATGATAAAAATTTAAAAAATGTTAAAAGCTTATGAAATAATAAGAATCCTACGATAAACGAATTACCCAGCATACCTTATATTCTATTATGCACTACCTACTCACATTTCGATTTCATCGTGTCGTGATATTCTACTCAGTACCTACACTCGCAGAACCAAATTCAAATTTCATGGCACCTATTTTATTAGTATCCGAACAACATCTTTGATGTGTATATAATAGTTTTCTCAATACAGGTATTTGCAATTATGGATTTTTCGGGTCAACTGTCGAGGCGACTAGCGGACACCGGCTTTGACCTTAATCGTGTGTCTAACTATTTGATCATCACCTCACATTATCAGATTATTACTTTTAATTCGCTAAATGATACCTCAAAAAACGAACTCTGATGTTTACTGTATTTAATACTAACGTATATAATGTTGAATAGACTTTTTCATATTTGAAGAGCTCTACTATAATTGAATATATTTTATGCGTAAAAAAATTGTAGTAATTCAGCTAAAAGTTAAATTACACGATACCTATTATATTATTATCTTGTCACTGCTGACAGCCTTCCTATTTAGTTGGCTAGTTAGTATGGAACCTAACTATTAAATGTTTTTAGTCAAACTTACTTATTACCTATACCATACTGTAAAGATTGTAAATATATTATTCTTAAAAAAAAAAAAAATATATTATATTGTATTAATTAATAATTATGTATTATACTTACAAGAGTCTTCAAACCCTAAAATTAAACCCAATTTACAATTACAAAATGTTATAAGTTATCAAGGTTGTATAGTAGGTCATAGGTATGTGAAAGTTAATACATCTCAACGTAACTATTTCAAACTCGATATACGCTTCTGGAATTAGTTATGTATTAACATTATTTTGTAGAGTGAATTCGTTTCTACGTCATAGCTAATATTATAATATAGACATGAGAGAATGTGGAGTTAGTAACTAATAGAGAATGCAAGACTACCCCGAAATCCATGTATTAACCATTTAGAAATATTTCCAAAGATCCAATCCGCTTAGTGATCACATTATAACTTGCCACCCGAGAAGTATAATAAGTGTATAGTGTGGACCTTCGAACATTTTCATATTTTTCGAGCCGATCGTATGTTATACGTATTTTGTGCTTGGTGAGCTTAAAAAACATTTAATTAAAAATAATAATTCTGATAATGCAATTGTTAATTTTTCTTTTAAATTTCGATAGTTATAATTCAAAAATTATGGATATTTATTATTTTATAGTTTTATATAGTATTAAATAAAAATGTTTTGCTCTATACTGATAAGTCATCTTCAAAAAAAAATTAAGCACATTCCTCTTGAGTCTTGACAGTCCATTAAAAATATTGTACACATTAAAGAACAGACAAATGTACCTTTTTATGTTATAGCAGATGAGTATATAAATTATTAAATTCTATATAATTTATGCCTTATGATATATACGTATAGTTTATTAAAGGTATCAAATATAATATAATACGTACAAGTTTGAATTTACTCCTCTAGCGCA